TTTTTTCTTTTACAACATGTGGATCATGATGTTTGTGTTGTCTCCCCCACAGGTTGTTTGTGGAGAAGGCACAGTCTCCAGGGAACTAGAGAAAAATGATTGGTCGAGATAACTGCAGCCTGGGTCCAAAGAAGGGGTCAGACCCATCACAGCTGCCTGCTGATTCCCCCAGTTACTCACTGTCCTGGAGGATTTGTCCTGGGAGGCCTGAAATTCCTCCCTTTCTGCCTGTCTTTCTGAAGCCTTCCTCTATGTTAAATGCCCTTCAGGGAGCCATCTGGGTCCAGGTTCACTTGCAAGTCATGACGTCACCTTCCTGATGGACCAAGAGATTCTCTTTGAGAGAATGAAGGGCAAACAGCAACAACTTCAGGGGAGGAAATGATGCACTCAGATAGCTCTTCTTGCCTGAGGCCTTACCCTTCCAGGTGCAAAGGATTCTTCCCCAGACCTGCATTTTACTTTGACCTTTTGCATGATTGCGATTTGTGGACAGGTCTTAAGGGTCAGAGGCTGTTTGCCTGTCACCTAACTGACCTTGGGCAGGTGACTTTACTCCCCTTGGGCTTCAGTTGTCCTCGGCAGAATAAGATGGCTAGACAAGAGAGCAGGGTTTCTTAACCTGGGATCTATGTGCTGAACTTGGATGGGGAAAAACTGCCATCTTTCTTTCTACTAACCTTTCACTGAAAGGTAGCGTTTCTTTGTTGTTTGCATCACAAACTGGACTCCCTGTATGTCCTTGGGAGCCAAGACCGGTGTCAGTCTGCACTAGGTTGAGAAATTGCTTGTGGGACGCTTGTAGATAAAGCAGACCATCCTATCTTCGTGGTCCGGCTGTTCCCAAGGGGGAAAAAATGGGGCTCTTGCCACGGCCTTGCTCCACCCCTTCAGGAGGGCTTTTGTCCTCTTCCCACCTTTACTGCACCTGTCCCCCTCCTGTGCCACGCCCCTTGAGGTGGAGATTCTCCTCCTCCCTTTGTCCTGATGTCATAAATACGCAAACTTCTGTATACATCATGACCTCTTTGGGTTCCACATGGGTGTTCATTTCTCTTGTAATAAACCTAGTTTTCACATAAGTTTCATGAATTTGTGATTTCTGTTGACAATATATATATAAATATGTGTAATATAAACAAAGTTAATACATATAAACTAAGTAAATGCAAGGTAATTTGGGGAAGAGGACAAGCATTTATTAAGCACCTACTATGTGCCAGTCACTCTTCTAAGTGCTTTACAAATATCTCATTTAATTATCGCAACTGCCTTATAGTGTAAGTAGTGTTATTATTCTCGTTTTACAGATGAGGAACACAAGGCAGAGGTTAAATGACTTGCCCAGGATCACACAGGTATTAGGTGTCTGAGGCAAAATCTTAACTCAGGCCTTCCTGATCCCAAATCTAGCCCTCTACCACTTAGCTGCTGGGATAATAGGCAAGCCCCATTTATAGAGCATTTTGTCTCACACTTCGGGCCCCCAGCAAATATACCCTAGGTTTAGGGTACTCTATGGGTTTGCATCCACTCAAAAGTTATAGCTCACAAGCTCTTACTTGTAATGTTTACTTTTTCCTAGTTCAAAGTACAGGCATTTAGTTAATAGTATAGTTAGAAAAATGGAGAAAAATGGCAACAGTACCCTAGATCTAGAGACAAAAGGGCCTTCATAGGAGATCTTGCCCAACCCTCGTTTGTCTGGGGCTTTTTTTTCTACTAATGAAAATGTTGAAACGGTTGCAAAAAACCAGACAGTTTTTGTTGTTTTCTTTGTTTTTTAACATTCATGATTTAAGTAGGAGACAAAGGTGTAAGGCAGATATCTATGGAATGATTTTACGGTTACAAAAGATCCAAAGCAGGCAGCTAGGTGGTGAAGTGAAG